TCATGTACAATCCAACATGCATAATTTAAATACGTAGACCGGCTCGATGGCTGGCACAAGTGTAATCTGCGAGATATACTTCATACATTGTAGAAGATGCCAATTGATCTACTTCGCAAGCCGCGTAGGGCAGTGGTTGGTAGATACATACGTGTAGGGTGTATGTCATTGTTGTAGAATTGCCTGCTTGACAGCGATGATGCATGTCGATGTAGTGTAGATCCATTCCGCTAACAACGTCATAGATGTCAACGTCATTAAAGTAGTCGCAGCGGTACGTTGACGATATGGGCGTCGGCATCAAAGACGGTGATGGCTTCAACTACGATGTCGATAAAGAGTTTGTCGTGCTGATAACGTGTTATAAAACATGTTGCCAGCGGTTAGGACCTTCCCCTCTCCGTCTCTCATGACCAACATAGTAGATGAAAGTAGAATACATAGACACAAGAGATATTGAGACTATTCTTTATTCCTAATTATCAACATAGAGCTCCCACGTATATATAGTCCTTGTCAAAACCTAAAAGTTTGATAAAATCCAAGTACAAAAGAAACTGGATTAGAATTTCATTTTCTCCTTTCCTTCCTTCTAGTGTCTGTAATCATCTAAAAAAGACCAAAAGCGACGAACGCCAAATCGTTTGCCATTGGTATACTGGCATACTGCATACTGCAGACTGCAGACGACCACCGTTTTGAAATGCCTTTTATCTAGTAAGCATTTTGCCGGCCTGGAAAAGCCCGATTTGCTTCCAGCCTAGATCTTGCATCGAGGCCCATCTAATAAACGGCCACGATACCAAATGTTAGGCCGCGCCAGGCTCTTCCGTCCGATAGTTTGCACTGGCCCAGCTGCAGGACAACCCAGAATGTATCCTGACTAGTATTTGCTGTGTTTCATTTCAAATATATTCGGCATTTAAAAAGGTTGAATAAGCAATCTGCAAAACATGTCTCCACATTTCATAAACAAATATTTAAGCTACAATATTTTTTTCCATTAAGTAGGATATTTTCTCTCATAAAGCTAGAACTTTCTTTATTTAATATGGAATTTTTTTCTCGTCAAACAACATTTTTTTTCTTGTGAAGCAAGAAGATTATCCTTGTGAACCTAGAACATTTTTTACATAAAGTTGGAGCAAGCATTTTTTATATGGAATAGTGTCCATATGAAGCCGGGAATTTTTCTCATGAAATAGGAATATTTTTATTTGAGTTCAAATAATTAATCAAATAAGAACATTGTTTTTTTATGATGAAGGTATCACATTTTATGTTTAAGCTAGAACATTCTCCCATAAAGTTAGAACATTCAAAAATGTTATTCCAAACCATTGAGTCGGATAAAAGAATTGTTCATGTTTCTATCAAGGAAATTTGTTGAAATAAATAAAGAATGGTAGACTGATCACAAAAACCACAAGGGGAAATAAATAAAAAAATATTTCAAAAGAAAATAAAAGAGGATTTCCTCTTTCTTCCCGTGTAAAATATGAGCTGTATTGCCTTAATTCATCGGATAGAGGGCCGATCTGGGCCAAAGGTCACATATAAGAACTCATTTGGAGATGGGAGGACCGGAGGAGGCCCGAAAGGTCTAACAGGCTCCAGTTTTCATGTTGAAAAACTGGGCCTTCTTTTTCTTCTTGGAGCCGAGCAAAACCACAACAGTGGAGCCCACGAAGGGCCTGTTTGGAATGCAGGGGTTTTTCTCTATTCCTGCGTTTTTTCTGTGAAATTGAACTGATTTCAGTAAAATTCCTGTGTAATTCCTGTGAAATTCCTGCGTTCCAAACAGGCCCGAAGTCTGGATTCTTGAGCCTCCTCTGGCCGTTTTCTGCCCTCTCTTCGGTTCTAGCCTAGCGTCTCTGGTTGTACAGTAGGCTGTTGAATTTTGACGTGGCTGTGTTCTACGGTACCTCTATTTGACTGGTGGATAGATGGGGTCAAATCAGAACCAGTGATTTCTCCGTGCTGTTGAGGCGTTGAGGTGGCGAGCTGGACGCCACAATTTCTCCCGGTCCCGGCAGGAAGAGAACAGGGCCAGCAACACCTCCACGAAAGCAACAGCCGCTACACTGTTCTCTTCCTGCAACATGGTGCAGCTGTTCACACGTAGGAAACGAGAAGAAAACCCAGGCATCGGCCCTCTCTACATTGTCAGCCAAGCAGCAGCCCGGGGTCAGTGGTCGAACCGAACGAGCAGACAAGTCCTTCTTCGTTCGCCGCTGCCGGCGGGACGTAGACGTACGCAGTGATTTCTCGTCCACAAGTCAGGCGAATCGGCCGGCACGGGACGTGTGGACCACGGGCGGCCAAGTCGGTCGCGGGTGGCTCATGGGAACGGAACGGGTGCCGCCGCCGAGTCTCAGACTTTCATCCGTGTGGAGGAGGTGCGCCTTCAGGAGTGCACGGCGGGCTGTGTTTGTTTGTACTGTAGCATCTTTGTGCGGAGAAGCTGTTTGACACGCTAAGATTTTAGATGGCGCCATCCGCATCTGAACTCGCCGCGCCGCCTCTTCACTCTAGCTGGTGCCCGTGGTTTCAAGAAAGATAACCACTGCGACAGGCCAAACCATTATCGGAAGGATGGGTTGGATGATGAAACATCGAAAGAAATAGATAATGCCCTGGTCTGAACTCCCGAGGGAGAAAAACATGTGGGAAATGCATGCATCGGAGAACAAGGAGGACTTTTCTATCTGTGCCACGTAGGTGTTATGATGGGCTAGTAAGGGGTTTGTTGTCACCCGGTAAGGAAAAACACAATTCCAGTTGTTACTAAGGTTCCTTGTGGCACGGTTTCATCGTCGACTCCTGAAACCGTTTTGCGCCAGGGTAAAACCAAATGACTTTATTTAAGGAGAGAAAATCATTGGAAAATGGTGCATCGGAGAACAAGGAGGACTTTTTTACATCGTTCTAGTAGGTCTTGGATGGGGTTATGTAAGAGCATGTTTTAAAGAACTCTATAGGGGTTTGTTGTGTCAAACGATCTAGGAAAAACACTCTAGCTCTTCCAGTTGTTTGGAGCTAAGGCTTCCTTTGGGTGGTTTCATCAAACAAGGCCTGAAACGGGAAGGGTAATCTATTTAACATGTGGTAATACATACTTTAATCTGATTAAAGACTTGTTAGGAGCCCCTTAAATCATTAAACTAAAAGTGGAGCGGTGGAGTAAAAATAGTGGCTTGCACTTGCGGTTAATGTACATCGAAAATTATAATAGGTCTTGGATAGAGTTAAATGTGAGAGCATGTTTTAAAGAACTCTCACATGTCCATCCTTTGTATTTTTGGGTTCATTAACTTTTGTTGGTGTGTCATCCGGTCCATCAACTTTCAAAATTAACTTTTCGGTGTGTCAGGTCTATCAATTTAAATTGTATTTTTGGTCTCTAAAAAGCGATTGAAAAGGTCCAACGGCTTCATTTAGCAAATAGATGAAGTGGAGCCAAAAAACCACCACCGTGGAGTGCCTAGATCACCAAGGATAATCTTGTTTAACATGTGGTAATACATACAGAATTTTGATCTCGATTTCGGGAATAAACTCCACAATAAAATTCAGTCTAATCTACCCATACAAGGCCGAAGGCCACATGTATAAACACGCAGGCCACCTGACCCAAACAAAATTCGGACTCCACCAGCTCAATTAGGACCGATTCACCCTGAGTCTATGATTTGGCTAACATGCATGTCACGTCCAAACGCAGCCACCAATTTGATTATGCGGTGCACGCATGCACTAAAAGCTACATAGAAAATTATAATATTTATATAACTAATGCATGAAAATAATAAATTACTAGGTCCATTAACTAATCACGGTGAGAAAATTCCATTGATGATCTCACCTCTTTTTAAAGCGATGTATTTTTTGTTGGCTTTATTTTTCCTTTTCCACGCATAATAATAAGTCACCTCTATAAAATATCATCAACTTTCAAAGTTGTAAATTTCTTCATGTCCACAATATATTTATCCTTAAAAATAATAGTCCCAAATGTAAGACCAGAGGATATTAACGAATTAACAACTGCTATATTTGAATTATTGCTACACAAGTCTCCATGAACATCTTGATGAGCTATGGACTCATCACCTACTCCACAATGGCTGCTTATTTGGCGTGCCATGTCAGATTTATTCGCTAAACGAAGGGTATAGACCTACGGTGAACCAGTTAAAAAGTTTAGGGACCTAAAAATATAATTTGAACGTTGGTAGACCTAGATGACACACCACCAAAAGTTAAAGGACCTACGGTGCATTTAACTCTAATTTTTAAGTGCAATTTGAGGCATCAATATATGTACATAATTTGACATAGACAATAAACAATTATACATACAGTCAAACATATACTCATATAGATGTTTAAATTATTGAAGTCATACACACACTCACACACATGTGGTATGTTGAAGATAGAAGTAACTGCTCTCGGGAGTAGAAAAATATACTTTGGACTAATTTAACATCGGTGTTAAGTGTTCGTAGGTGTAAGTATGCATGTTGATATTAAAGAAATTATCGATTTGGTCAATGTCTCTAAAAAATTTATAGCCACAATACGGGAAGAATATACATGCCTGAAAAGTAGTTGAAATGATTTTATACGACTACAGAAAAAAAAAATCATTCCACGCTCGCTCACTGGAATCTTCCGTGCCGGTCCCACAGCCGGCTGAGACAAGTGGCTCACATCTCTCCCCCAGATTCCACCCTCCCACCATATCTCACCCTCCTCTCCTCCGCAAGAGCCAAAGACGGCAACCGATCCCTCAGTCTCAGGCGAGCGAGCAAGCGTGGCTCACGTCCACAGGGCCAGCAACAGTAGGCCCCGCCCGCTCCAGATCCACACTCCGCAGGCAGCCGCCGCGGATAAAAGCGGCGCGCGCGCGCGCGGCCGTGAGGGAAGAGAGTTGGAGCGCGCGTCAGCGCCCGTGTGGTCGGGTAGTGACTAGCGAGCCGAGGAGCGCGCGGGCGATGGCGGCGGCGTACGTGGCGACCGTGGCCTCCCCATCATCCCCCGCCTCCAGGCGGCGGCTGCTCCCCCTCCCCTCCTCCGCCGCGCCGTCTCTCCTCCGGCTCCCTCCGAGGCCGGCCAGGCGGCTCCGGCGCGCCCTGCGGGTGCGGGTCGCCGCGGCGGGGGACGAGGCTGACGTGCTGCCTGGCCCGGGGGCCGAGGGGGAGGCGGCGGTGCCTGGGAGGCTGGAGGAGCAGCGGGACGAGCCGCCGCTCGGGGGAAGCCAGCTCGACATCGGAGGGCTCGCCTTCCAGGGCGACGTCGGCGGGGGATTCACCGGCGGCGGATCGGGCTCCGGGTCCGGGGCCTCCGGCGGTGGCGACGGCAACAAGATGCTGGACCGGGGCATCAACACGGCCATCGTGCTCGCGGCCAGCACCTACGCGCTCACCAAGCTGCTCACCGTCGACCAGGACTACTGGCATGTGAGTCTCCTCAGTTTCATTCCCTTATCCCTCTAGCTTATCCCATAAATTAATTCCTGATTAGATTCGGAGCCATGTACCGGCGGGCGTGTTGATTTGATTTCTCGGTATACAGGGGTGGACGATCTTCGAGATCCTGCGCTATATGCCGGAGCACAACTGGTCCGCGTACGAGGAGGCCCTCAAAGCCAACCCGGTTCTAGCCAAGATGATGATCAGTGGTGTCGTCTACTCCCTTGGTGACTGGATTGCACAGGTGCCTTCACACTTCAAATTTCCACAGCTACTCTACCACTACTCATAGGACGTATGTCATGTCCTGTTGCAACATCAGTGTGATTACTGACTCTGCTGTTTGTTTTTGCTGCTGCTGCTTATGCTTGCAGTGCTACGAAGGCAAGCCGATATTTGATTTCGACCGTGCTCGGATGTTCCGGTCTGGCCTTGTTGGGTTCACGCTTCATGGGTCACTTTCACATTACTACTACCATATCTGTGAGGTAACCATCGTTACATGACCTGCTTAGCTATCTTGTGCTTGTACATTCTAGTACAAATTGTCCATGTGGAGCGTATTTCAACCACACGAAAAGTTAAGAAAATCTTAAGTTGATGAATTGACAAAACAAATAAAACGTGTTTTAATTTAAGGTGTTGAAGTATAAGTGGTTTGCCCAACTTTTCCCATCAGTTTGATTTTTAGTTTTGGGTTGGGGGGTAAACTAACTGGCACATAGCAGGCATCAGATAGAGCTCAACTAATCGGCACATCTATATGTATATCATTTTAATTCTTTTTAACAAATTTGGAGAGCTAACATGCTGTCTAAGGCAGACCTGATGGAGTACATAATTTTGTTATGTTGACAGGCACTGTTCCCATTCAAGGATTGGTGGGTTGTCCCTGCAAAGGTTGCATTCGATCAGACCATCTGGTCTGCAATCTGGAACAGTATCTACTTCGTGGTCTTGGGTTTCCTTCGGTTGGAATCACCTACCACTATCTACAGCGAGCTCAAGTCCACGTTCTGGCCTATGCTTACCGTAAGGATTCATCTTCCCTGAATAAGTTTAATCAGTTCGCAGGGTGGGAATTGGGCAAGCATTAAACATAAGAGTTGTGCTTCTTATTTTCACTTTCATTATGAACAACCCATGGGCATACTGTTATACATATTGGCAACTTGAGTCTTAATTACATGAATTATTCATTTGAGACTATCCATATCCTTGGATTAATTGTCGGACCTTTGAAAGTCTGCTCCATTGATAGTGGTACACGTATACTATATTTGCTCCTGGCTCTAGGCAAAGAATGATGACTTTTACAGACATAACATGTAGCATAATAACTCATAGTTATAACTGAACTTAAATAGATCATGTTGAACAATAGCAGAACCATGTGTACTGAACCATCCTTATTGCTTTCCAATGTTTTAGCACCCCATTTAGTAACCCTTAATCGTTCTATGCCTGTGCTTGTACTACCCTCCCTCACTTCATTATTATGGAGGTTTTCAACTGAATACACAGCAGGGCATAACAATAACATACCTGTCTCTTGATGTTGTTGCAAATATTTGTCATACCAATTCTAGCTATTTTATCTGTCTTATTTCCTGTTCCGACAAAGTTGAAACTTTGTTTGGATTGTTGCAGGCTGGATGGAAGTTGTGGCCTTTTGCGCACTTAATTACATATGGTGTGGTTCCTGTTGAGCAAAGACTTCTATGGGTCGACTGTGTGGAGCTTGTCTGGGTCACAATACTGTCAACGTGAGTATCATCATATTTTTCTAATATCACCTAACTATCGTGGCTAAACTTATCACTCGAACCTTAATGTGTACTCTGTTGGCTTCTTGCCAGTTATTCAAACGAAAAGTCAGAAGCAAGGAATTCTGATGGTACCTCCACACCAGCTGCTTCAAAGGTAAAATATATCAAGCATTAAATCCGATTCAACGTTGCCATTCTTGTATTATCGTGTTAACACTGATAACTTCTTGACTTCCTTTCAGGACAACTCCAGATAGCAACCCCATAGACCTTGGAAAGCTGCTTTGCCCATCCATCACTTCAGGGGTTATGTAAAAATTGAACAATTAGCTGCAGCAACTCTGCAGGTGTAACCCTTTTTTTGTAGATATATATTCATGAAACATGAATTGTACAGCATCTGCCATAGAATATCAGGAAGAAATTAGCTTTACAACTGCAATAGCTGATGGAATCAGAGTTGGTCGGTGTAGCAAACTAGCAATCATTGGCGCGAGGTCCAATTTTTTTTCTGGTTCTGCACACTGCACTTCTCTGCTGGTTTGCAGTGTTAGAAGCAAGTGCTGGGCCTTGAGCACGAGCCAGAGAAACCGTGGAACAAACACCAACTTGTTCAAATTTGTAGCGCTGGTCGATACGATCTCTTGTCTGACAATCACGGTTCCATGGCTACAATGTGCTCGGTTCGATTTTCCATCGCCACGGTTCGATTCTCAGCTACACTGGAGATGCTCTTAGTGATACTGGATTTCTGCAAAAGAAGCGAGACGAGCATTGTGATGGTAAACAATTAAGGAGGTATGGTGGTTTGCTTTCACTTGAATTCAAGTTTTTCTTTCACCCAAAGCAAAACTTCACTGTACAACTGAACAAGCAGCAAAACCTCTAGCACGAGCACCTGAACACCATTATGAGATGTTTTTGTCCAGATAAGTTTCATTGGTCTCGGGCCTTTACATCGATATGATAGAATTACTCCAAAATTAACTAGTGTGTACATGGCCTACTTAATACTCAATACAGTTCTAGAACAGTATCGTGTTTTAGTATAAATATTTATAATATCAAATGGATATCATTAGATTAATTACAAAATGTATTTTTATAATAAATTTATTTGGAGCTATAAATATAAATATTATTTACTAGAAATTTGGTTAAACGTGAAACACTTTAACCGGCACGTAACTCATAGTTGCATCCTTTTTAGGACAGAGGTAGTATAAAAGAAAATGGCATAACATCTACTCCCTTCGTACTAAAAAAATGAAGTTATTTTGGACAAGACTTGGGTTAAACATTAGGAATATAAATCATGAATAACTTTTAAGTTGTTGAGTTTGGAAATGTGAAAACAATATGAATAGATTTGTCTAAAAAATACTCATATAAATATACATATATCATTTTTTTTATAAATATTTTTTATAAAAACAAGAGTCAAAGTTATGCTTTGTAGACCGTGTCGCTGTAAAAAACGACTTTATTTTTTTTTAAGTACAGAGGGAAGTACATCTCTACCTTTCGAAACCAGGGTCCAAGCTCGACCATATTGAGGCACGTCACCTGGTTTTTTATGACCGTCGGATCCCCGTGTCAGCATTAATCAAGCCGTTGATTCGGGCAATTCAGCTCATTTGTCCTTACTCGCGAACCCTCTGCTCTTCCCGCCACTTGCGAACCCTCACGAGTTACGGCCGACGACCTCATCCCCTCCCACCCGTCGGTCGACGTTCGCGTCTTTCTCTGTCTGCGCCTCCATCCGGCCGCCACGCCAGAGCACGCCCAGCACGCTCACCTCGCCTGCAGCACGCCACCGCCGTCCTCCCCTTCCGCGCTTCCCATCGGTCCACTGTGCTCCACCTGCGAATCCTCGCGAGCCCGCTCGCACGGGCGGGGAAAACCGGCGAGGCCACGAGGATGCGACCAGCCGAGGGCGATGCGGCACGGGTCGAGCCACCTGCGTCAGTAGGGGCGAGCATGGTGGACCCAGGGGCGGTGGCAGCTCCCGCACGCGCCTGGACGTTGGCGGTGGAGCCCGCGGCGACGGCGGCGCCCGCACAAGCCAGCTCGGCGGTGGCGGAGCCCGCACGCGCCTAGCCGGCGACGCCAGTGTGGCCGGGCTCGAGTCCTGGCCCTCTTCGCGGTGTGCGGCGGTGACCGCGCGTCTGCCGTGTGCCCGGCGGCGGTGGCAGCTCCCAGCCTCCCACACGCCGCAATGATCCCGGGCAAAATATGTGGTGGAAACCACGTATTAGGTGGAAACATGGAAACCAATTCAAAATACGTATTTTGCTCGTTCCAAAAAAATTTGAAATTTGGTATATCCATGGTGCATACAAATATGTATTCACATGCAAAAATTAGGATGCAAACTCAAACTAGAAAAATTCATAAGAAAATGAGAAATTTAAGATACATGTGCACTAGAAAACAAAATTTTTGTCTTTTAGTGACATGCACATAAAATTTGCCATTTTTGTATGACTTTTTCAATAGTGAGTTTGCATCTCAATTTTTCCATGTTAGTACATATTTGTATGCACTATGGATATGCCAAATTTCAGATTTGTTTTAAACGATCAAAATGCGTTTTTTTAATTGGTTTCCAAGTTTCCACCTGGCGCGCTGTACATATTCTTTTTGGAATTTCGCCGCCTAATGATATGGATGACCTTTTCATTAGATGGTCTAAATTGCTAAATAAGAAGTATAATTCATTGTTGTTAACAGCAGCATCTGCACTTTGTTGGGCAGTCTGGATAACGCGGAATGAGGTGGTTTTTGACAAATGCAGACCAAAATCTTTTTTGGTGTTCTTTTCGGAGACGCGATGGCTCCGCTTAATGGGCAAGATTGCAGTGACATGACGATCTACGAGATCAGCTCACACTAGCGCACAAACATCTAGAATCGTAAACTTTGCGTTCTTTTGGTTCGAATGGGTGGTTGTCAACAAGACATATTGGTCATGCTTAGTCAAAACTTTATTTCGTTCAGTTATTTGCTCGGTTGCATGTAAACTTGAATTTTTGGAAGTTGGAGTGTGGGCCTTCGGCGGATCCTTGTAATAATTGGTCTGATTCTATCCGTTGATAGATGAAGCCGGATAAAATATCCTTTATCTAAAAAAAAAGTAGTTTCCACCACGTATTTTCCCATGATCCCGGCCCGGCGATGGGGAAGATAACAACTGAACAGCGTCGACTGCCTTGTGCGTGTGCTCGTCGTTGCCAGCGACCAACGAACTCAATGCTGGCATGCCTAATATTTCACGGCGCAAATAACCAGAAAACAGCATCTCTAAATTTCCAGCTAAGAAAAAAAAACAATAACAAGGACAGGGTTACAGCGCGATCCGTCGCGCTCTTGGATACGGCGCGACCCCAGCCAACCGCGCGCGAATCAGCCCCACACGACATGTCCCTCCCCCACGCCTGTCCTTTCCATTTTCAAAATAACGAGCAACATGCAAATGTCAGACCCCAGCCCCGAGCGCATGTCCCTCCACCGCCCTTGTCCTTTGCAAATGTCACTTTCATCATGACGTCACCCTGATGCAGGTTAAGCAAACCCAAAACATTTATTTTAACTTTCTATAACTTTTGAAAGGTGTATCCATTTTTAATTCTGTTTGCACCGTTGTGTTCTACGTGACGAGACAAATAAAACTAGACCCCACTTGCATCTATTTTAAAGAATTTTATTCTAGTAGCAATTTATATACAATATGTGCTAGGACAATTATCAGAGTTAGTACCATGTAATACTAAAGCTGCTATTGAAAGATCTTAAGGCCATTTATGGGTGGTATAGTACTGAAATCTTACATTCGAAGACAAGTGTGCTCATCTACTTGCTGCCGCCCAATGCAGGCTAGTTGACGTGGCAGGGGGGAGTACAGCGCGAGGCGCGGGCGACGCGTGGCACGAGGCACGAGCGAGGCACGTGAGGCGTGGACGGCGCGAGGCATGGGCGGGGTGCGCGACACGAGGTGTAGGGCGCACGCGGCGCGAGGTGCAGGGGCGCACAGCGCGAGGCGCAGGGACGCACGGCACGAGACGGGTTCGGTGCGACCGTGCGAGGCGCGAGACGCAGGGGCACGTGGTGGGTCCATCCCGTCCGGACGGACGAACGTCCTGGTAAGAGCATTACCATTGCAATATTATTGATAGAGGGATCGACTTACAAATAGATGCAATCCAAACCCTAGCAGTGTTCTCCCACCCATGGTCCCTACAAACCATGATCAGTAGATAGGAAACTACAAGAATTTCAAGCGACACACCTAAGGAGTAACAGTTTGATCATGCACTCCATGTAGTCGCATATGAATCCGAAGATAATATTCAATATAAAGGCCCCCCATTGGTACAACTTTTCCCAACTCCAACTCCTAAACTGTAGCAACATTGTAGCGTCACTGTAGGTGTAGCATGGCAGAGCCGGAGATGGTAGAGCTACCAAAGGGGGCTGAAGAACTGGGATCACCATCTAAGGTTTCGCTAGCGGTGGCTCGATGAGGAAGTAACTTCGTAATAAAATTCAATCTAATCAGGTACATGACCGATTAGCAGCCCTTTACACGCACACTGGCATAGGACTCTGACATGTGGACCATAACACCCAAACATGTTACATGAACACCAAAACTAACAACAATTTGTGATGCATTTTCAAACAATTTGAAGGTTGCCTGCTGCGATGTTTTTGTGTGTGTGTGTGTGTATATATATATATATATATATATATATATATATTTGTTTTCTGATTTGATTGACTTTAAGTTTCACTAATCACTATACCACCATAAATGGAGTTTTAAAATCGTAGAAATTTTTTGCAGAAACTCATGACCTATGAGGAGCCCTATGGTTAAATTTTGGTGAACTTCTCATTGTCTAGCATTCACATTTCATCTACTTAGGCTATGTTCGGCAGGACTTATTGCTGCCGCGGCTGATTTGTAGGGCTGATTTGTTGTGAGAGAAAAACATTATTCCATGGCTGAAAAAAGTAGTCCTGATTCTGGCTTAATAGCAATCAGGAGATCTGTGAGCTACTCTGGAGTAACTTTGTATCAAGACGTGCACAAAGTTAATTCGTTATGGAGTAACTTTTTTCATGTATAATGCTATTACCTATCTTTTGGTTCATATTTTATTATTGAGATGACGCAGTGGAGCAAACATTACAATGTATCTGAAGCACGCTTTTAAAGAACCAGCGCATTTCTTTGGTACTGCATGATTAGCTG